AAATAATGATGTATGCACAACCTTGGAACAACAGGGCTCTGGGATACAGGGATTGAGACATGGTTGGAATGGGGAAAAAGGGGGAAATAATGTTAAGATGCTTGGCTGTCTTTTGAATCTTGGTTTTCCTTGCATTACATTATAAAATAGACAGAAGAGAGAGAAAGGAATAGCCAGAAATATCACCATAGAAAGCTTGTAAGTCCATCTTTTGCCTATAACTGATTAGAATACCTAAAATGGGGCTACAACATGCCCAGTGAGGATGCTTCCTGCGGAGCCTCTGAATTACATAAGACTATAGGTGGAATCCTGAACAGCATCTAGAATCTTCAGAGGCGGGAAATTTCCACTTAAAAGGATAAGCAGACCAGCCTGGAGTGGCTAGAAGAACAGAAGATACCTGAAAGAAAGACTGACAGGAAAAATTCAAAACAATATAGGCAGACTGACTGATTACTACAAGAACAAGCAAGTTGCTTGCCCAGGAGACATCAAGGCAAGTGGTAGTTCCCCTCAAAGCAAACCTCCTTCCAAGACTAAGACTCAATGGGGATACACGCTCTGATTGGTGACCACGTTCGTCACCGATAAGGGGAAGTGTGAGAAAAACATCAATGAAGCTGCGAGCTAAGCCCTACCATGTTCAATAGACTCCTGTGAACCCGGGTGGAGACCTGGTTGGCCAGAAGTGTGGCAAGAGCTGGGGACTCTTGGGCCTAGAGTCAATGACATAGCCACAGAGGACCAGAGTGAAGAGTGAAGCGTCCAGCTAATAAGAAGAGAGGGCAAATACATAAGAACACCCACACTTGCAGATTATACCCACTTGACCTGGCTTTAATGACTGGACTATCAGAGCTCAACTAGAAGAAGAAAGAAACGAAGAAGAAAAGCGTAATTTGATATAATTTGATGAACTTGACCTACACCTATGGAAGCAGTAGCTCAAAAGAGGGAACAAATCTTTACAACAAGGATCATTCCCACCCCCTCCATACACAGAGTAGACAGGGATGGGCAACTTGGACTTTGGCTACCCAAAATGGGGGAGATGGGGCCTACAAAGGCAAGAAGTGACTGGCTTACAAACTTTGAAGAGGGAACCAAGATCCAGAGGGTGTGGAGGAAGGTCGAATCTCCAAGGAGTAGTATCCAATCTGTCTAGGTGGGGCTAATGAAAGGAGATGGGGATAGGTCTCTTGTGGTACAATAGTGAATAATTGTTATCAGGACTGATTGTGAGGGTTGGAAATGTAAAGGCAGACATTTTGTAGCAAAAGGAGGAGAGTGATTGACTTTGCAGGAAGTCCCTGGGACCATTAAGGGAGAAAAGCAGAGAGCAGGGACCCTACCCAGAGAAGCAGGGATGCCTGAGATGGAGGCAGAGATGATGACGTGGAGAAGTGGAGCAGATGGGGACTTTAGACCCAGAGAGGGAGAGGGGCTGTGTGCTGATGACTGGGGGCCGGGGGTGGGGTGAGGAGGCAGGCTTGTAGGGTATACCCTTTGGTTGGTTTATGATGCATGGAAGGGATTGTAACCATAGCAATTAAACGATATGCGATAGGATGAATGTAAAACTAATGTTCTCCCATGTAAACTATCACATAATTCACAGTAAAACATTTAC